AAAAAAAAAAAAAGAAAAACTGTATCTAAAAACCTAAGCTCTTGATACCATGTGAAATAATGGGAAAGAGGTACTCCAATAGGAGTCCTGACAGATATATTTATAATAGAAGAGTTGCCAAAATACAAAGTATTCCTAAATAGATATTAGGCAGATTCCTAAATATCTATTAGGTAGATTCCTAATTATATTAGCCTATTACATGATTCTTCGCTTGTTGCTATCACAAAATTTGTACCAATTACATACTCCATATAATCTGCTCTCCTGACATAGTTCCTATCATTCAGCCTCACCAAAAATATAGTTTATCATTATTGAGCATTATTATTTAGTACTACGTATTATTTAGCAATTACCTTGAGTGATTGATGAATAAGTAACGTACATAGGTATTGATTGTACCATTAAAGAATTTTTATAATTAGGAGATATTTGACAAAAATAATACTACCTTGATCTCTTAAAATTTGATTGAGTGGAAAATGCGTTATTAAAAAAAAATGTTACCGTGTACTTGGTATTGAATTGATAAAGTGTGAATAAATTATCAATGAAATTTTGATAAGCTTAGAGTTATTTTTATGGCTAAATTGTTGGAATTACGGATGTTTTTACTTAAATTAAATTTGCTAGTTTGGTGTGGTCTAGTCTGGTTTCCAGAGTCTGGTCTGGTATGAACTGGTCTAGTAAATGTTTGGTCTTTGTATAATTTAAAACAATGACTGTCTAGTCTGGTCTGTTTAAGTCTAGTCTGGTCTGATCTATTTAAGTTTGATTGATTTCGCCTATATTACCGAACAGGTTCTAATAAATATAATAGGGAAAATAACTTTAACTAATACAAATTATCTTCCGTGAACCAAGAATAATATATACTTTGAGAATAAGTTTTAATAATACAAACTATTTATATATAGATCTAGACCAAAAGTGATATAGAGCACTTTTTATTAAAAATTCAACCATTTAACTCATCAAAAACTTGTATCGAAGTATCTAATTAGTGAATGTATTTCCAAATATCATTTATTTGATGGGTTGTCATTAGCATTTGATGTCTTAAACGATCCTATTTTTTGTCAAAAAATAACTCCGTATTATTTTTGTTTTACATTCAAATAGTTGGTATTATTAAAAATAATTTTCGAAGTTTGTATTATTACAGGTTCATGAATGATAGTTGGTATGATTTAAAGTTATGTTTCCAATAAAATATTATGAACATAATAATTTTTAATTTTTAGAACTGTAAATGTTATTTATTTTTGTTCAAGTTACAAAAATTTGAAAATAATATGGAAGTCCTGTAAGCAGTAAAAATTAAGGAAGTTTTGTACAATAAAGGCCCATTCTTCTTTATTATGTGAAACAATGTTGAAATGAAGAATAAAGACTGATCTTACTGGCCACACAACAGCCTGTGGTCACCATACACCTTTTTTTTAGTGTTTCGATTTTGTATGTTATCTAAGTCTTAAGCAATACTTTTTCAAAGCATTTCCCTCATACTAAAGAGTGTGAAGTATTGTCCTTCAGCCGCACCAGTACGAAATATGGACTGTCACTATTTATCAACTTATCAAGTAAGCTTCTCAAGCAGATTACGTATATATTGTATATAAGTATGAGAAAATTCTGATAGTAAAGGAAAGATTGATAAAGAAAGCTCATTCAGAGAGCAATAAGAATCAGCAGTTCAGCACCATATATTGTTGGTGATTCTCCACCGGGTTCTGGAAATATTTAATATTAGCAACTTTAATGGTGAGATTCAATTATTCAAAAGTGCAAAGGTGAAAGATGGAATGCCAAGTCATTAGTCTGAAAACTGAAGTTCAAGTCTCAGAGCACTCCTAACGTTTGTTCTTTGGGTAATTCTCATGGAAAATAGAGAATGTCTAAAAGGATCACCCAAGTTTAAGTGTTCATATACTTTTTGCTTAGTTGAGATAGCATGTAATTAATGTATTGGGTAGATGTTCATTACCCAATGGTAACTGAAGTTTGTTTAAAGTAAAACAACGAAATCCAATACTTTATTAGAATAGAGATGTAAATTAAAGAACTAAAAGACACTACCAAAAAGTGTCTGCGGAACAACTATGCTATGAATCAAAATTTATTAATTGAGCACAATTAATCCTATGAAGTTTTTATAAAGTTGGCAGGAGTCTATTTATGGCATCTCTAGCTTGATGGTCTTTTGTTTTTTGGTAGCAGATCCTTGGGTGGAGCAAACTTCAGAGCCTAGATGACCGTCTTCTGAACCTCGCTTCGAAATTGATGAGTGTGGAGTTGGGACATTTTCATTATCAAGGGAGGTTTGAGTCTGAAAATTAAGAGTGACAAAATGAGTTAATCTCACAATTGGGAACCGTTATATTTGTAGCATTTGTCTGAGATTTTGGAAAAGTTAAAGACATACCATGCTTGATTCAACACCTGTTGTGGAGTAGGAAAGAAGCTCAAGATCTTCATCGGAATTATAGGCCTGTTAATTTTAAAATGAGTGTGTTGTTAAGAAATATATCATTGACATGGAATTCCAGAAAAGTAAAAATAAGAAATACACATTGGTTGTGTTTATGTTATGGAAATACCTCAGGCTCCAATCCAATTGTAGTCTTCACCTGCTCCAATTTTTCCTGATCGTCTGAGACCATGGCAATGGAGTAATACATACCACCAGATGAATTTATTTTCGTGTGCCTTGTCTATTTTGAACATGAATTCCCTTCCAACCAATTGTTTTATCTCTACCGGAAGGCTCTTTGGGGCTAACCTTTCCTAAACAATTTGTTTATACACCTCACTTATATGTTTAGGTAATCAAGTGCAAGAATATTTTTTAAAAAAATGCTAGTAGAAATATGTAGATGTAATCAAATGTAACTGTTGGTATTATCAACTTCTTATTTCACTAAATGAGTAAGTGAAGTTGTACGTGCAGAAAGTGAAGTTATTTAGAAAAGGATGCTATGGTGTAAACAACATAATTAACAACTACCAAACATTCAAAAAAAAAAAAAAAAAAACTACCAAACATTTGTGTTCATGTTTTTTTTAAAGAAGTATACATTAGATTTAAATGGCTATATATATTACATAACTTTAGCATTACATTCAAAGAGAAAACAGACATGAATCATGATATACAAAAAATATACCACATCAAGATGGGCTGTGATTCTGAATCCCAGAACATGAATTCAACGTTGGCACAATTATGGCTAACTCGCAACCTCAAGCTGTAGCGCCAAATACCTTTCGAAGTTTGCTTACGACAGTTTACACAATGGAGGTGACCATTGTCTTTGGTGACCTTTTTAAAACATCTAGGTTCATCACAGCCAAGATAAGCCCATGTCTTTCAAGAAATAATCGTACTTATTTGGCCATAAACCCAACATCCACGAACCTTGTATAATAACAAAAGATTGTTACACGTAGGGTATATAAAATACGTGATTATTCTTGTCACAGTTAGATGCATGATGTTTCCAGAGTAAAAATTGGAATATATAACAGTAGGAACTATAAGTTATTAGGAATCAGAAGTTGGAATAATTAATATTGTAACTGTAGGTGTAGTTATTTACTGGAAAACATATAGAACACATCATATAAAATAAGGTCGATAGGAAATCACTCTTCAGAGGTAAAACTTCAGTCACTTGGTCAGACATTCATTTGATTTCAATCTGACATAAGTATATACCATTTGAATTCAATTGTGATGACATACATGTTTATCACACCGACTCATCCATTTTTGAAATAAGCAAAAAGTTTCATGATAGTTTGAAGCGAAAGCCCAAGGAAAAACGATGGTTAAATGAATATGTGAAGATATAAATGAATTAGAATTAGTATAGAAAATTAATAAAGTTACAGAGGTATGTAGATGCGGAATATGTAATAATGTTACCTAATCAAAATTAAAATTGGAATAAGTAATACAGAGTAATAGGAAAACATCATATTGTTACCTCTTTAGAAGATGATAACTCAGAGAGAGGTATGGTCAAACCAATTCCATTCACAGCATCAACCGAGACAACAGAGGATGATGAAGATTGTGTCAAAGGTGATGAAAAAGAGGCTCTCATGCTTAAAAATCTGCATTTATTATAAATTTGCCAACTCTTAAATATAATATAGGGTTGAGGGCAAATTGAATTGGAGTAGTAACATACAAAGATATAGTTTGAATCTGAATAACATATTTATTATCATTATTATTTAAATGAAATTGACTATAAAAAAGTGGATTTATGAATTGAAAAGTGGGCACATGTTCTTAAAAATCTGCATTAATTGTAAATTTGTTAACTCATGGGAAAAATATAGGTTTGAGTGCATACTGAATTGGAGAAGTAACTAACATACAAAACTTATATACTATTATATACTAAATGTGCAGGACTTTTTTATTATCATCATTTGATTAATAACATATAATAAGATGTGTTGTAACAATATTAAATGAAATAGAAAACAAAAGAAGTAACAGTCTGAATTCATTCCTATTCACATACTATTAAGAATGAAGTAACAATTTACCTGCTTCGAAATAATTCAATCTCAGGTATATGTTCATCCAACAATAACTTTGAAACATAAAAAGAGGTTGCTACCCCTTTAGTGTCATCTGAAGGAAGAAGAATGTAACAAAGTGTAATGATGATACACATGAAGCAAGCATAATTACAAAACACAGATGTACAAAGGAGAAGCAACACACCCCATCTTTTATTTATACGACAAAGTTGCAGTAAGACAATAACCGGATCTGCTCTTGGTGTAGATAAGTATCTGTCAAACTGTCCAACATATTCGTTCCAAAGAGTGCAATTCAGGATTTTATTCCTAAGCACAAAAAAGACCAAATTTATTATTGCAGTCATCAAAGTAGGTATATATGAACTTAAATAAGAATTCATTGTACTATTTTCTTAACTCTAAATCCCGAAGTTGAAAGCTACACCACGTCGAAGGGCCTTCAGATGCTAAGGGCTTTTTTGGAGGGTCAGTGGGATTATATGCACCAATTATGTCTGTCACAATTAAATTTGAGGATGATGTTAAAGTATTCAATTCAAATGAATGAAGGAATTGAGTCATACAAAAGATCAGTACTCACCGATCAGATCAGGCCCATCAACATTAGGAGAATTTAAGACATCGGTGAAGCTTGTGAATTTATAGGTACTTAGAGGAAACAACGGATGTTTATCATCTGGTTGTGCCTTCACCTTTGTAATTTCATTAAAATAAAAGCGATATGGATGTTGTGTTGGTCTCCACTTGCCCACATTCTCTTTGACAGTGAAGTGCATAAAGGCATAAAGTCCTCCCTCTTCAATCTGGTCATTAAACAGTGGAATGTGCTCTTGTGGTACGGTAGCTTGAATTCTTGTACCCTGGAATAAATGGGTTAGCTATTAGTGAATAGGAATCATACTATACCAAGAGAAAATCCATATACAGTGTCTATGTCTAAGGCCATAAAGGTCCACGCTTCAATTGTAGGAAAAAAAGTCAAGAAAATCATAGTAAAAAACAATGTGGGTTTGTCAATGTCAACCTATGTGTATCCAGAACCATAATTGGAACCATTAATTATAGACATAAAGTGAACTAAAATTATTGTCAATAATACATACTGACACGTTAAGCATTCTGGAAAATATTAATGTAAAGAAACTTGAGAAAAATGACAAATTTGTTGAAAGTGACCTTAGTTTTTGCCCTGAACCATAATTTAAATGAAATGAATGATTTGAATCCTGAAGATTCAAACCAAAACCTTTAAACCATTTAAAGTTTTAAACTCAAATGTACTCTATCAATTCCAGGTATGAGAATGTTTCTTTGAAACCATGTTAGAAAATTCATAATAACCAAAAATGAACAGCATTCTTAAAGTGGGATGGCTTTACCATTATATGGAAAATCCATAGTTTCAATCAAAATGCATAAGTATTCTTAGTTCGCAGTCAAAAGTAAACTGAATTTAATTCTTATCATTTTCAAAGTAAACAAAATTGTTTTGTTATCAGTGTGATAGTAAACCAAACAAAATGTCCAAACTCCAAAGTAATGATATAGTTTCTCACTCATTCAAAATTGATGGTAGAATCTAAAGAGTAATAATAATTCTAAATAAACATCACCTCCTCATCTATTAGAACCAGCTCAACCGATCTAATGCCCAACTCCCGGTTCTGGAAAGGCATGGACCACTTTCTTGCAACCCTGCAAAAAATGCAGCTTTCTTCTGCATTTCAAGTTTGACGCCCTTCAAATTAAGCTTCAGAGGGGCCATCGTTTATTTTCTTATGAAAAGAAGAAGTATTAAAGATGAATGGTGTGTGAAAAAGAACCACAGTGAGTGTGTTTAAATAGGAAAAAAATGGATTTCATAGATGGTAAGACAAAAAATCAATATCAATATTCAATAATGAATGAATGAATGAATGAATTAAAAAAATGGAAGGATTCGCCCCGATTTGCGTTGGCTCGAGTGAGTACTACGCTGAGAGACCGATTTGCAAGGGTATTTCATAGATGGTAAGGCGAAGAAGATTAATCATACCTTTGGGAGACCGATTTGTGGTGGCTGGATTGAATACTACGCTGGTTGTCAAACAAAAAATGGAAGGATTTGCAGATCGTAAAGCAAAATTGAAACTGCCCAAGCTGATTGTCTGCCCTGAATTTGCGCCTGGAAACGTACGATTGAAGATCCATGTGCGATGAATTTGGGGCTAGAGAAGATGACGTGCGATTGAGGGTGAAAATTAGTAAAACAAAGGGCTTTGTACGTAGATATGTAGAAGTGTTGTAGGTAACCGTCCAGCAGCTCTAATTTGGGTGAGAAGCAATGAATTGAATGAGAGAACCGTCCAGAAGCTCTAATTCGGGTGAGAAGCTGTTAATGAGAGAGAGAGGCGGGAAAAGGCTTTGGGAGAAGGATTTTGCTTTTAGGTATATATATATAGGATAGGATAGGATAGGATGAATTGATACAAGCGATTATTATTTAAAGTAGATTCGTCCAGATCGGTTCTATTTGGAATAAGGCATCATTAGTTTTTTAAGCAACTTCTACATCGAGTATAACTGATGTGAAACATAACTTTTTTTTATTCTAAAAAGTACCCCGTTTTTCCTTTCACATCACGTAAGATTGTAACCAATGTAGAAAATTTTATTAAATTCTAAAATGCACCCCGTTTTCCTCTTTGACTTCGGTTATACGAACACCCGATGTAGATTAATTTATTAAAATTGTAAATATGACCCCGTGTGGCTATTCCACATGGGTTATGGGATAACTCATGTTAAAAGTGTGATGTAGAATGCCTTTTTGTACTAGTGATAGATTAATCGAAGAATAGAGAAATTTATTCAAAACAACACGAAATTGAAAACGAAATTGAAAAAAAAAAAACTGAAATTGTAACTAATCAGGTCTAAGATATCCGTAGAGTACGTAATCACGAAATTGTAACTAACTTAATTCATACAGTAATAACTATAAAAAGTAACCCGAATAGTCTAATTTATCTTTCTATTGGTTTCATCAATAGTAAAATCAAACATGTGATCGAGATATCTCTTCAACACCGCTTCATGCAAAATGATGAATTTATCCCAGACCAGTCTAGTACCATCATCGACCTGTAAATTATATAAAAAAAATCATCACATAATTGATCTCTATATGTTTTCGTTTTTTAGATTAAAATATGTCCAATGGCGGAGGTGGGGGGGGGGGGGGCATACCGGGCCCTGGCCCAGGGTAGGCCTGCTTAATACTAGGTATAGTATATATAAAAATAATTAGAACCGACCCAGTGAAAAAATAAAATTGGTTCAATGTACTCCCAAGAAGCCCACGCTGCCTAGCTGTCCAGGAGTGCCACAAGCACTTATGCGTGTAAAACAATACAGCAAGAATAGAAAAATTGAAAAACAGATTGGAGTCCAGTGAAGAGCCGCCAGCTGCAGACAGGCGCCGGAGCACGGAGGTCGGACGACGGTGGGCCGGTGGCGGTGTGTGACACCGCGCCCGTATGTACTTGAAATTGAAAGACGATATGTATTTGATTTTCCTAGCGAATAAAATTCGTGTAATTGATTGGTATATTTAATTAATGCATGATTAATTAAATTATATATCGGGTCCATTATATGAGAATGGGCTACCAAATATTTAGTTGGGTTATCATAATAATTATAGGAGCCCAATAAAATGCCAACCGAAGTTGATAAAATATTTGGACAACCCGAGTGCTATATTGGCCCGACCCACCAAAAATAACAGGAATAATCGCGAGGGACTTCCTACACCCACTTGGGGTATTCTATCAGTCAAATAAGTCTCAAATAATGGGGAGGAAAACCAATCCAGCATGGCTGGTACGTATGATTGGAATGGGGAAATCTCATTGAGACAAAGTCCATACCCCCATGTCCAATCCTCCTTCACATTTTTGTCTTGGGTGAGAAGAACCTCTCCTCTACCACTTGTGCAATCATTCGAACAAGACCAAGGGAAGAGAGAAGCTCTGGCAAGACAGCTCTCCCATAGTTCATAGCTGAAGAAGGAAAGAAGAGGAAAGTCCAAGAAGAGGAGGCTAGGAGAAGAGGTAAGAACACACCCATGTCCTTTAACTAGCTTTGATGTATGATTTTTAAAGGAATCATATGGTGGGTCAAATATGAAGTTCTACACGTTTAAAAGTGTAGAATAAAGTTATAAGGTGGTGGTATTTAACTTAGAAGAGTTGTGGAATCGATAGGAGTTGAAATCACCGGAAACCGCCAAGGAGAAGAAGCTGTCCGTGTTGCAGACAGACGAACGTCGCCCGGCTTTGGCCAAAACCGGCCGGCTTTTGTTCAGGCAATCCAATTTTAGCTTCTAATCAGTTTAGATCGGGAATTGATCGGAGAGATTATTAAAGGCAACTATCTCGGCACTTCATAAGGTGAGGATGGCTGACTATATTGCTTATAATCTTTGGGTTAACTTCATAAGATTACCTAAAGTAATTAAATGTGATTTTCATGGATTATTAATGGTTAATAATGCCTAAATGAAAATATCATTGTTTGTGAATAGAAGATGCATAACATACAAATTTATGAGAAAATTGTGTATGATGATGCATAATAAATGTGAAGGTATAATGATTGTATAAACCATGAATTTTTGTGATAAAATATACTTTTACTTCATGTGTAGAAATCATGAATGGATAAAAGTAATATTTTTGATATTGAGATTAAATCGTATACGGATTAGAAAAATCCATAGGAATAAGCCTTATAACTATGAGTTAAGGAGCTTGGCTGTTTAAAGATTTATGGATTAGTATTTAATTTACTAATCGGGAATGTTGTATAAAAAGTGATAGAATAAATCCTAAGGACTTGGATTGTGAAGGATGCACCTTAAGTAGTCTTATGAGATGCCTTAAGGTAGGAATGGGTAACCACTAAGTTACATTAGGAGTAGGCCTCATTGGCTACTCAAGATTGAGGAACTCTAGGCATAGAATTTGCTAGTGAGTTAGTATCGTGACTAGAGGAAGCCTCTAGCACGATTAAGAATGACTGGAGGAAGCCTCCAGCATTCGTGTAGGACGACTAGAGGAAGCCTCTAGCGTAGTGTAGGATGACTAGAGGAAGCCTCTAGCATAATGTAATGTGACTGGAGGAAGCCTCCAGCACAAAGCATGTAAGGTGATTAGAGGAAGCCTCTAACACCGAATTTAGTGACTAGAGTAAGCCTCTAGCACGGCAAACATGACTAGAGGAAGCCTCTAGCATGGTGAATTAATATAGATGGGCGTGGCTTGAAGTCACGGGGAAAGGGTTGAATGTTTTCAAAGTGAACACGGGCCTTCGGGCGACTACTTGACTTTATATATAAAGTAAGTATATTTTTAAAAGAGGGTAACCACGGGTTATGACCTATATTATATCATCACTCTATTTGAGGGTCTTGGAAATTGAAACTTTGATTATACTTAGTATAGTTGTCATTGTACTTGTCAAATGCTTCCAAGTACTGACCTCCCCTTCACGGGGGAGGCCACCTCACAGTTTCAGGTAGGAGTTGAGCTCGCCACACATACTCGTTGCTTCGAGGGAGGATCCAGGAGGGAAGACGTGGTTCGTGCTTCCTCCGTTTCTGTTTTTAAAACAATTACATTAATGCTCATGGATATTATTTTTTTGAATAATTATTTGGGGGCTTGTATGCCCATGTTCGCCAAAGTGTGGCATAAACACTTTATTAAATGTTTCCGCTGCTTTAATTAATTATTTCACATTATGATTGTTTATGGATGTACTATTGTGAATGGTATTCAAGACGCCTTGTATGGTATGGATGAGTTGGACTGCGGTTGACTATTCGTACTGTACGGCGGGTTGTTGACGTGTCCGGTAGGTCCGGGGCGTGACAATTTAATTGGTATCAGAGCCTTAGTCCGTAAACTTCATAATGAAGCTTCAAAATTCTTTTTGAAAATGATTTTGGAAACCATGAGCATAAAGTTTTGTACTTATAGAACTTTTGGTACTTGAGTTGCAAGGTCTCTAATTGTTAAGATGGTACCCTTAACAATTGGCATGGCGGCGATTTGAGCCAAAGGATGTCTTTAAGTGCCTATCCGTCATTTGACATTTGATACGGGTCTAATGACTCAATCTCTATCTCTTTCAGAAATGGAACGTACCGGTAAAGTCACTCGAAGGAACCCGACTGGCCAGGCACCGGGAGGATCCCAACATGGCAGTCGAGGGGCATCGAGGGCGTCTCGTGGGCAGGGCCGTGCAGGTCACTCATTAACGGTGAGTGACGGTCATGTGGAGACAAATGATGAACAGTATGACTCCGAGGAGGATTCAACGTATCAACCGGGAACCGAACCGGTTGAGACCCCATATGATGGGGAATACGATGATGATGATGAGAGTGACGATAATGACGCTCTAGAAAGGATGGAGGAGCTGCTCCGTCAATACCAACAGGATCGCCAAAGGCGCCGGGCAAGGCGTGCTTTGGGAGGGGCTTCCAGGGGAGGAAGCCGTGTGAGTTCTAGGGGACATGTAGAGTCCCGGAATGATCGAGGTACCGAGGTCCCGATAATAAGGATCTCAAAGTACCTCAAGGAGGCAAGAGACTTGGGGTGTAAACCATTTGATGGAACGGGAGACATCTCCATTGCGGCCGAGTGGATCAAGAGATTCAACGAAGCGGCTCTTGACATGGAGCTGCCGCCGATCATGAAGTTGAGAGTGGCAACGAGGTTGCTAGAAGGAATGGCGTCCACGTGGTGGGACGGTGTTAAAGGGAAGTATGGTGAGACAGTCACTTGGGAGAACTTCCGCCAAGAATTCTTCAATCAATACTACTCCGATTTCGAGGTGAACTTGAAAAGGAGAGAATACACCAACTTGACCCAAGGAGGCAAGTATACTGTGAGGCAACTTGAGCACAAATTCCGGGAGCTTGCCGAGTTCATACCGGAATATGCATGCGATGAAAACCGAATGGTGAACCACTTCTGGGATGCCTTGGACCTTGACATACGTGAGAGGGCAACACAATTGCC